TATTGAAATTACGGCAACAAGTTAAACCCGTTGTTATGGGTCTGCCCTAATTACATTTGTACAGTTTTCTCTATTCATTTTCCACTCCCTCTCTCTCTCTCTCTCTCTCTCTCTCTCTCTCTCTCTCTCTCTCTCTCTCTCTCTCTCTCGCACACACACCCATCCCGCTTCTCTCTCTCTCCTTTAACTAAGTGATCCAAGAGGATCTAAGAAAAGTTAGGGTCCTCCTGATGCTTTTCATTTGATTGGAAGAGAAAAAGAATGAAGGAAAAAAACTATAGTGAGTGCGTTGCTAGCACACTAGCTAAGGAAGTTTTTGTAGAAAAACTCTGCAGACCCAAAGCTAGGCGCACTATAACGCACTAGCTATAGAATTTTTACAAAAACAACAAAGTCAGATGCACTGCATTGCACCCTTAGCGCACTGCAGAGTCCACACAACAGCAACAAAGGATAGGACAGAAATTTGGGGGTTTATCTAGAAGCAATGCCAATCTTTTTTAAAAATTATCGCACTTAGAGAACTGTATCACTTCGAGGACCTAATTTATAAATAGCTAGCCTCTCTCATGGCTAAGATTAGGGAAGAAAACAAGAGAAACTAGCAAATGTTAGAACCCAAACCAACAAAATTGTCACGACCCAAAACCAAGCACTAACTAGCATTAGAGATGAATTACCAACCTTAAAAGAATGAACAAACACCAGATATAATTTCAAATAGAATTAACAGAAAAATTCAAGCTAAACATATATATAGAACCCTATTTAAAGCAACTCTAAAATACAATTCAACATATATATAGCCTTGCTTGTGCTTATAGTTACGCTCTTCAAGAATCTATGCCCTTGCTTAGTAGTGTGAACAAGAAAGAGAACCAGCACCACGATCTGAAAAATGTTAGAAAAAAAGAAGTATAAAACTTAGTAAATAATAATACAAACTCTAATCACGTTAGACATACATCTTAACACGAGCAAATCATTTATACAAGTTCTAACCAATATGGAAAATGTGAATTATGCGGGGAGTATTAAATCATATCATATCATATCTCAGTAATAAAGCGTATCATGTCAAAAGTATATCATATCACATCATATCACTTTATAGTATATCATTTTAACAATAGAGTGTATCATATCATAGACATCTTATATCATATCATAATATATCATCTTAATGATAAATTATATCATGTCAGAGGTATCTTATATCATATCAAAATATATCATCTCTATGATAAAGTGTATTATGTTGAATGCATATATAATATCATAGCCAACAAATCACCAAGCAAGCATATTAGGCCAAAGTACATCATATCATAACATATCATAATATATCTCGCATAATGTGGTTTTTCAAATGGAATTTATAATAGAGGCATAATTTCAAATGCTTCTCATAATAACCAACATACATATTTTTGTTTCAAATCAAAATCGAATGCTTATATTATATCAAACTACCTTATTATATTTCAAAAATCAATTGTAGAATACCTATTCAAATTTTCATATCAAAATTAATAGATCACATTATAAAACAATTCATATTTTTGTAAAATGCATTTGCGAAATATATAAGTGGTTAAAGTTGAAAATGCATGTAAAGAATAAGTATTACTACTCATAGTACACATAAGAATTGGAAGGTTCAAATCTCTGTAACGATGAACTCAACGATTGTAGTGTAAGTCCTCCGTCATTTCTACAATCATAAGAATATAATATTAATCTCAATCAAAATTTAATTCAATTAACTGATCAATTATTTAAAACAACTCTAATCTTATTTAGGAACCCTAGCATGAATCACAAGGTTTATTTCCTAACAACTGAATCCAAAATGAACTAAAAATATAAATCAGTTTCATGTAAAAACCCTTAAACTATGTTGAACCAGTCAAATAAACCACTGAACTGGCTTGGACAAGCAACACACATCTTTGAACCGGCTACATATACTACTGAACTGCCTTAAACTAGTTATGTATGCTTATAAACCAACCCTAAAACCCTAAAACCAAATTGAACTAGTTAATAAACCCCAAAACTGAATTGAAACAATCTAATAGTCATCAAAATCAGGCTGAGTCGATTTGAAAATCTTCAGAATTGAATTGAACTAGCCTATCAAACTCTTAGGGTGATCTAAACCAAATGAACCCAATCAATTGAATTCATCTAGTCTATGACCCGATTGAATAGGCCTAGACAAACCAACACAAACCCAAGTTCCATCAAAGTGTCTTCTTTGCGTGGAAACCCAATGAATGACCTGGTTTCCTACAACTTTGACCCAAACATCCTTGAACAAAAATTTTAGCCCTTAGTGTGTGTTGACTTACCAAACCTTAGGACAATTTGACAAAGCTAGGCAAGGGGTTTCTTGATCGAATTGGTGATCAGAAGAATAGAAATTTAACCAATTTGAGCAATCAACCTTCACCAAACTTCCTAAGCACAAAAAGATGGAATTCTGCAAATTTTGGGGTGGAAGCATGAATTTGATCAAGGGGTTTTCTTTTACAAGCATGGACACAGTCATATGAGCTAGTTAAGGCTGTTATCAAGCACTGACTAGCTCAAATTTGTCCAAAAGATTCAATCGATGACTGACTAGAACTTTTCTAGTCTTTTCAATTTGGTCCACCCAAGTTCTTTTTTTTTTCAATTGAGCCCCTAATTTATTCTATTTCAGTCCCCGAACTTCCAACCTCCTCTTAGATCCCCCCCCTCTTTAATTTCTTTCAATTAAGCTCATAAAATTTTCAATTAGGTGTCATTTAATTTAATTTCTCCCTCGTATTCTTTTAATCTATTCAATTACGTCCCTACATAACAATTACCCATTCAATTTAATTTATCATCAAAATTTGGGTTATTACAAAGCCTAATTAATACGAAGAGAGAAAGAGAAGAGCTAAAGCCTAAGTTTGCCGGAAAAACCTATCATGGACTGTGATTAGCTGGGACAACATAAATGATTGCTTCATTGTCTTCCAATGCTACCACTTGTTGTTGGACTTTGAGCTATTGAGTTCCTCAATTGATGTAGGAAGGAGAAAGCCTCCTTAGGAGTTATTGTAAATTACTCATTAGCCCCTCTGAGCTTCTTGGTTGTTACAATTATGCCCTATTAATTATGAATTGATTCAATTTGCTCCTTGGAAGTGTGGAATTGTATGATTTGGTTCTTTGTTCGTTATTATTGCTTTGTTGCTTCAAGTGGATCACTTAAGTACTTCATTTCTCCTTTAGTGTCATTTGAAAGAGATATATCTATGACAAACAAAATTTGTCTTCTAGTATTTTATTTCCCCTTTACTTTAGTCATTAAAAAGAGATAGACTCATGGAAATGGCATAAAGCCCTTGTCCATTTGCCCATCTATCTCTCATCTCCTTCTTGCTTCTCCTTCCTTCTACTTCTAATTGTGCTTCTATTTCTCTCTTCCTCCTTTGGTCTCCATCTACAAGGAGGGCAATCAAAAGGCAACTACGAACGTGAAGGATGAAGATGAAGTAAACGAAGAAGTCGAAGCTCCATCTGCCAACAATGACTATGGCTAGACAGCAACATTGATACTAAGCTAGCCGGCTGGCAACTATTGTCAATTGATGATTTTCATTTAGAAGTTGATTTTAGTTGAACCAATTCACCTTGGACAGATTTCTATTAAGAAATTAGTTTAGGAAAAATCAACTTTTCTTTAGTAGTTGGTTATTCCTAAACTGAGTTCTCTGTAAAAGTCAGTTAACCAAATTAATTTCATCTAAAAATTGTTTCATAAAAAAATTGACTTTTAAATATTTTTTAAAAAAAATTATTTTAATATATAATTAAAAAGTGCATTATGGTAAATAATAAAAAAATAATGCCAAACGTAAAAAAGCCAATGATAGGATAAGGAAAAAGAAATGAAAGTGAAGACATTTCCTTTCTGTACTCATTTAATCCTGAAAGAAATTCTAGAGCCATGTTCTGGCGTACCACCATTTTTTAATATTTTTTATTTCTCAATTTTAATTAATTTAAAGTATATATTTTTTATAAACAACGCAAATACCTAACATTGTCAAATCAATTTTTATATTCAAATTTTTGCTTTACAAAAAATCTAAATTCTCTATGATAATACCAGTCATCTATATTTATGTCCACTCCAAATCCGTCACTTGGAGACAGGGAGTCCCTCATGGGAGGGAATTTATGAATTTAGTAGTTTGTTCATTTATTGTTTATAACCTTTAGAGCAAATGAACAATTTCTTTTCTTTTTTTTATTGTATCCTATATATTCTTCTCCTTTCTTTTTTAACTTAATTTCTTGTCCCAAGAGAACAGCTAAAGGTTATTAATAATTTCATAAATTAAAATTATATAAATGGTCATATAATAATCATCTCTAACACATGTGGATCATAAACACTCCCTCTAAACTTTTTATATAATTTTAGAACTTAGTTTTCCTATTCTTATTAAAAGGTTATAAGAATTATTGGATAGATTGCTATGAGAAAACATGAAAAAGTAGACCAAAAAGGTGCTTATTAAGATGTCAAAGCATCTCTGCATCAGCCGGAGCTCACATATTGCCAGAACTCGCCACGGGTCACTCGGGTATAACTCCTAGTTGTGAAATTATGGTTATTTTGTATATTTCTAGATAAGAACAGGGCCCTTACCGATCTATACTCACTCATGAGAGAACACTGGCCAAGCGAGTCACAGTCATGGCCAGAGTTTTAGGGGGTCGGGTGAGATTTTGAAGAGCCAACTGGCTTTCTCCCATTTCTCCGTCCAATATTACATTTACTTGTCAGTACCGCGCATTTCTCCTCAAAGATCTCAGTTTTGCTGTGTGTGAACTTGCTTTCAGAGAGGAAGCTCAAAGAAAATCTGTTCATTTGTCCTTTTTTTTTTAATTTTCTGCCTCGCTTTCATGTAATCCAAAAGCCCATCTTTGTCTCGCACTACAATGAAAGATTGGAGATGGGTTTTTCATGATACTGCCATTAGAGTTCACTACGGCATGTTTGTGTTGTAGGCACTGGGGTTCGACCTTCTAATGCCTCACAGTTCTCGTATGGAAGCTGACAAGCAGAGACTGCTTATAACAGTGTTTTGCTGTCTTGTTTGTGTGGTTCGTTGTGTAACAGACCCGAACGACGTTACAATTCTGAACAATTTCAGGCAAGGGTTGGAAAACCAAGAGCTCTTGGACTGGCCTACTAATGGCACAGACCCATGTGGCCCTCCAGCTTGGAAACACATCGTTTGTGCTGGTAACAGGGTTTCTCAGATTCAAGTCCAGAGTATGGGCTTGAAAGGTCCTTTGCCTCACAACTTCAACCAATTGACAAGGCTTTCTAACTTAGGCCTCCAAAAGAATCAATTCAATGGACCCTTGCCATCTTTCAGGGGGTTGTCAGAACTGAAGTATCTTTTTCTGGATTACAATAACTTCGATACAATTCCTTCGGATTTCTTTGATGGGCTTGTCAATTTGGAGATTTTGGCGTTGGATTCTAACCCCCTTAATGCCACTAATGGTTGGTCTCTACCTCCAGTGTTACAAAGTTCAGCTCAGCTTCAGACTCTCTCTGCCATGAATTGCAATTTGGCCGGTCCAATTCCTGAGTTTTTGGGCAATATGTCTTCGCTAACGTCGTTAAAGTTGGCTTTTAATCGCATTTCTGGGAGTATTCCGTTGAGTTTTAGCAACTCCGTTCTGCAGAATTTTTGGCTGAATGAACAGTCCGGCGGTGGAATGACCGGTCCGATTGATGTAATTGGATCCATGGTATCGGTCAGTAGTCTTTGGCTTCATGGCAACAAGTTTTCAGGTAAAATTCCGGATAACATCGGTGACTTAACTTCTTTGAAAGATTTCAATGTCAATAGCAACGAACTGGTTGGCTTATTACCTGAGAGTTTGGCAAATATGCAATTGGACAATTTAGATTTGAACAACAATCACTTTATGGGTCCTGTTCCCAAATTCAAAGCACGTAATTACTCTTGCAGTTCAAATTCATTTTGTCTCTCCGATGAAGGGGTTCCTTGTGCCCCAGACGTCATGGCACTGTTAGAATTCCTTGATGGATTGAATTACCCTCCAAAACTTGTTACTTCGTGGTCAGGTAATGACCCTTGTAAGGGACGATGGTTAGGGGTGGGCTGTGATTCGAACCAGAAGGTTTCTTCCATAAACATGGTCAAGTTTAATCTTACAGGTAGGTTAAGCCCTTCAATTGCAAACCTGAGTTCTCTTACCCAAATCCAACTTTCATCTAATTATCTTGTTGGACCTATTCCGCCAAACTGGACCAGCTTGAAATCTTTGACATTGTTGGATGTAAGTGACAACAATCTTTCAGCTCCTTTGCCAAATTTCAGTAGCTCTGTCAAACTTGTCTTAGAACATAATCCTTTGCTCAATTCTAATAAATCCGAGCCAACACCTGAAAACAGCCCACCTTCTGGGGTTCTGGATCCCATCCTTACAATCCACTGCCAACCACAACCACTAGCCCTTCTGTTAAATCTTCCATTAAGTCCAAGTTAGTTCTAGTTTTGGTCCCTGTTGCAATTTCTATACTCCTGGTGATTTTGGTTGTGCTTTTACTTATTAATTGTTATAAAAAGAGAAAGGATGCCTTACAAGCTCCTACTTCTCTCGTGATGCACCCTCGAGACCCATCTGATCCAGACAATATGATTAAGATAGTGGTTGCAAATAACACCGATGGGAGTGTTTCTACGCTGACAGGAAATGGCTGTGGGAGTAGAAACAGCATGGGTGATTCCCATATCATTGAGGCTGGAAACTTAGTCATTTCAGTTCAAGTTCTTAAGAACGTGACTAAAAATTTCTCCCCAGAAAATGAGCTTGGGCGTGGTGGTTTTGGAGTGGTTTATAAGGGAGAACTGGATGATGGAACAAAGATAGCAGTGAAAAGGATGGAAGCGGGTGTTCTGACCAGCAAAGCTTTGGATGAGTTTCAGGCTGAAATTGCTGTGCTTTCAAAGGTTCGCCACCGTCATTTGGTATCTCTTCTTGGGTATTCAATTGAGGGGAATGAGAGAATTTTAGTTTATGAGTACATGCCTCAAGGTGCTCTTAGCAGGCACCTTTTCCACTGGAAGAGTTTGAAATTAGAACCTTTGTCTTGGAAAAGAAGGCTAAATATTGCCCTTGATGTGGCTAGAGGGATGGAATATCTTCATAATCTGGCTCATCAGAGCTTCATACATAGAGATCTCAAACCATCAAATATCTTACTTGGTGATGATTTTAGAGCTAAGGTTTCAGACTTTGGATTAGTGAAACTTGCTCCAGATGGGGAGAAGTCTGTTGTAACCAGGCTAGCTGGTACTTTTGGATACCTAGCACCAGAATATGCTGGTAAGCTGTCTTACACTCTTGACTATGAATTGTTTCCAATTTCACCTAGTAATAAAATTCTAACTTCTTCCAGGCCTAATTATGCATCTAAGGAATTTATATATGTGACTATAGGTTGCTGAATGGAATTGGTTCCTCATGGATGGGATCTTAAATTTTGACCATGAGCAAGTAGTAGAGACTTCGCATAATGCTTCATGTTCCTTGGCTGAGAAATAACCTCATGAATAAGTGATTGTTCCATTTACAAGGCTATGCCTTCCAAAGTTGAGTGGCATTTTTTCAAAGTTTAGTTTCATTTTCATTTGGAAAATTCCAATATTTTCAATTTACCACTCCAAGATTGGTTGAATTTATCCACACATGATCGGTTTTAGAATTTTATTTCACAGAAATGGAAAAAAAAAAAAGTCAAAATTTAACATTATTTTTTGAAATTTTATTTTTAACATTATTTTAAGAACTTCATTTTTCAGAAATGGCTCCATTTGTATACTCTGTTTTCCCTTATTTTTAGGATTTTATTTCATTGAAATGGAAAAAAATAAAGACTTAACATTATTTCTGAAATTCCATTTCAGAAATGGCTCCATTCATATATTTTCTTTTCCTTTATTTATTATTTATCTGTTACAAAGGAGGGACTAAGCCTATCAATATAGTTTCAATGTTTAAACATATTTCTAGTGATAATTTTGATGTTCTTGGTCATTATTATGGAAATTATTGGCACAACATTTTTAAATTCCTTCTGATTGTAACCTGCCAATTGGTGCAGTCATGGGTAAAATTACAACCAAGGCTGATGTCTTCAGTTTTGGCGTTGTGTTAATGGAGCTACTAACTGGATTAATGGCACTTGACAAGGACAGACCAGAGGAAAGTCAGTATTTGGTGTCATGGTTCTGGCAAATCAAATCTAGTAAAGAGAAATTCATGGCTGTTGTTGACCCCACCCTTGACATAAAAGATGAAACATTCGAGAATGTCTCCATCATTGCAGAGCTTGCCAAACATTGCACGGCAAGGGAACCAAGCCAACGTCCCGATATGGGCCATGCCGTGAATGTTTTGGCCCCTCTAGTAGAAAAATGGAAGCCATTGAATGACGAAAGTGAGGAGTACCGTGGGATTGATTACAGTCTTCCCCTTAACCAAATGGTGAAGGGATGGCAAGAAGAGGAAGGAAAGGATTTTAGTTATGTGAACCTGGAGGACAGCAAGGGCAGTATACCATCACGGCCTGTGGGGTTTACAGAGTCTTTTACTTCAGCTGATGGTCGGTAAGAAGATGTACTCTGCTATTTTCTTTTTTCGTCTTTTTATAACTAGTTAATTTAATAGGTATAGATAGCACATGGTTTTCTTTATGTTTGTGCATTGATGTTATCATCTTATTGTAGTACTGTAGTACTTTGTGTTTTCCTTATGTGGTTCTCTTCCACGTATGTTGTAAGTTTCAGCAGCAAAAGATGTAGATAGAAAACAGCAATGGGTAAGAATTGTTAATGCCTACAATTTTTTCACTTCCTGTGAATTTACTATCTGAAAATTTTGATGAATTTGCTGGTGCTCTCTAGCCAATACTGTTTGTTGCAGCTGGGATTTATTGTACTTCCATGGTTCATTTTCAGCTATTTTGGCTTCTTTTTAGCTTTTAACTTAGTTTCTTAGCATTAAAAACGTCCTGTGCTAGCTTAGAGGAAATTCTATGGTTCGTTTTTCTCTTTGGATGTCGGCTTGAGATCTAAGCCCAACTGTGTGTCCCATCCCTACTCACCTAATTGCGGGCCACTGTAGATAAGCATATAGACTTCTAGCCCCCCAAAAATAGAATTATGTTCTGTTCAAGTAAGCAAAATTGATAACCTATATGAAGAAATCAATGAGAAATAAGTTTGTGAGTCGAGGCCTTAAACCAAAGGGAGAAGTTTGTACTCTGTACAGTTTGCAGCAGGTCCCATGAGCATAATTGACTGTCATCAGTTCAGTGTACTGTGTAGTTGCAAATGAGGCATCACTTTCTCATTAACAAGTTCGGGCAGGATTTGAATAACACCTCATGTTTCTGTCAGCAGTATAGGCTATCTTGATTTTCGCTGCCCAGGTATTTTCTTTTTCTAGGTCCATCTGATATCCAATTTCTCTGTAGCACTCATCCTTTCTACAAATTTCCCAAGTGGCCTTGGATTTAGCCTCTGAGTGACTCTCTTAAGGATTTTGGATTTGTCCATCTAGAATGGAATTCTTCGGTTCATTTCCTGAGAAGCCAAAGAAATCAACAACTAAAAAACGGGTACAAGGAATTTGAACACATCAGCAACTAAAGAAGGGTATCAGTTAATAAAAATTTTTGCAAACACCACTTAAGTCTCGCTAGTGTTGGGCAATGCTTTGCATGAGGTACTAAGTAAAGTAGGATCCATACTCTATATGAAATATAAAATATACTTTTACAAATATAAATATAAAAATATTTTAAATAATGACAATCATTACAACTGACAGATAGCAGTTTTATACTCATAAAATCACTATTTGTCAATTTTAATGATTGTCATGTGTATGTTTTTTATTATATCAAATTTATTTTCTGAAATTTAGCTTATAGAACTGCTATTTGTCACTGCTATTTGTCACTTCTAATGATTGTCACGTGTATGTTTTCTTATCACATCAAATTTAATTTCAGCTCTTGAAACTAATATTTATTAATTTTAACAGTTGTAATGTGTATGCTTTCTAACAAATCAAATTTATTTAAATTAAAACCAATAAATTTTTTGGTCATTTTTTAACATATAAAAATTACTCTTTGTCAGTTTTAATAACTGCTATGTGTGTATTTTTTATCATGTCAACTTTATTTAAATTAAAACTAATAAATTTTTTTATCATTTTTTTGCTTATGGAACTATTATTTGCCGGTTTTAATGATTGTCATATATATATTTTTTATCACATCAATTTTATTTAAAATATTTTTATATTTATATTTATAAAAGTATACTTCCTATCCCATATATATAGTTTTGGGAACAAGGGTTTGGTTATTGGACTGTTGATCCTTACCTTCTATAATCTCATGTTTGGCGAATGAAAGTGAAAAACTTCTAATTCACTACCTTTCAGCTTTTATAATGAAAAATTGTACAGGAAAAAGAAATAATATTTCATAATATAACTCTCAAAATTTTGATCTAAAAATCTTAAAGGTTTAAATTTCAATTTATCTTATATTATTTTATTTTCAATCTAGATATAGTATAATTTACATAAATACTTTGTCTCATTTAATACTTTCTTATTCTATTTCATAAGTCTTACCCTTGAATTATATCAATTAATTTTTATATTATTAATCTTAGCACAAATATTTCAAATAATTTTTACTCTTTAATTATATTAATTTAATTTTTATATTACTAATTTTAACACAAAAATATTTTAAATAATTTTAAACACAAATGAGTCTTTCCATTGCGAGGGTGGAGGGAGTCATGGGTGTGTCAACCAGTGTGCGTCCCCCTGTCAGAAGGAGACCAATATTGTTATGCAATGATGTGACCTAACTGATGGGACAAGGAGTGCGAGCGACCATGACGAATGATACGTGTTCCGTTCGGTAGTTTCAGTGGCTCACGTGCTTTCTCCCTTAAATTACGAGTGTAGTGTGGTCCCTGGAAGTGGAAGATGGAACTTTAGGGCTGTCCAGGTATGAATTGACACGTTCATGGTTAACACTCTGCCAGGCCAGCTTGCCCAATTGTCTTTTGCTAGTCACAAAAAAAGGTCGTAAATAATGATCTGGCCTAATTTCTAGTCTTTATCTAAACGTTCAACAAATAGAATCGAATTATGTAAATTAATTAAATTTTGATTTAATTTTTATTTTAATCTAATTTATAAAAAAAAATTTATACAATTTACTTTTTAATATTTAAATAAATTATAGAAATTAAATTAAATTAAATTATATGATATTTATGTATATTAAATTAAAAATCTATTTTTATATATTTAAATTATCTTGACTGTTTGATTATATGTTTTTTGTTTTTGTTATTTTTTATATTTATAATTTTGTGATAACCAATTGTTTTTCTTTTTGAGAAAGTGATTTCTTTTAATATAACTTAAATTCTTTTACACTATATAAATATATTTATTGTAAATGTATAGTTACCGTGATTAGTTATAGATATTGAATTTGTTGAATTAAATAGATTTTAAAAAAAATTGGATGTCTGATTTTTATGCAAAACTCTAACAATTTTTTTTTTTATAAAATAAATGAATTTAATTAATTATATTTTTATAAATTACAAATCGTAGTTTAAAACAGAACAAATCGTAAAACATGATTTAGTTTAATTTTTAAAAATCACAAACTGTGAAGTATGATTTGATTTAAACTTGTACATAAAATCAAGTCAAACCGAATTAATAAGTTGAATTTTAATTTAAAATGATCTAAATTTTAAATTTTAAAATTATAAATATTTATAATTCGAAACAAATGAACAAAATATAAAATTAAATAACTAAATTCATTAAATATTTGAATTTAAATCATAATAATATTTTTTAAATAAATTAATAATTTTAGATGTGTGTATATGTATTATTAATAAAATCTAATTTATAAGGACAAAATTAGGGAAACAAAATATTCAAGAATCAATATAATTGATAAAATAGAAAAACGAGATTTAATTATGAAAAAATACTATTTTTTGTTAAATCTTTTTTTAATTTCAGATTATTTATTAGATTAAAAATAAATTAATACAAATTTTATAAAATCTCAAACTATATTTGAATATATAAATAAATTATTGGATTCAAATTCAAATTAATCTTAGTCTAATCCAAATCCGAAGCATTGGCAATCCATGCAAGGATCTCCGAATTAAAAATTCACGCTTCAGCTGATACAATTAATCTAACGAATTGATCACATGCAGAGCCTCTACTGGCGAGAACAAAGACTGTCAGGATTCAAGACAATAACATTAGTCCGTGATTTAGAAATTAGAATACTTTGACCCAGACCGAGCTGACTGACTCCAAGCCATTCAACTTCCAAGGGTTGAACAATTTTTAATTAGGGTTTAAGTTTTAACTAATAATTTCCAGTGGTTGATCGTAAATAAATAAAGCAAAATAATGAATTCACAATGCAATACATTATTGTATTGTGAACTCTTCAAGCTCAGGAAAATAAAGGAAAGTGCCATCTTAGTTCTCCTAGAGGTTAGATGAGACTAACAATTTCATAGAATATGATTGAAAGACATGGCAATAGTTAATCCATGACTTGAATTTAATTAGAAGCATGATAAAATATGATTAAGAGAAATGACATTAGTTAACCTATGTCTTAGAAAAGTATGTGAGTCAAAATGCAAGACTTGAAAGGCATGATAATTAAATTGTAAGGTTTGAATAGTACAAGGACTAAAATGTAAAATTTGAGAAGTGTAAGGGCTAAAATGAAGAGTTTGAAAAATTATAATTGCTAGAGTGTAAATATTGGAAAAGTATAAAGACTTTAGGTACAAGGACTAGATTGCAAAAGTTGAAAAGTAACTAAATTACAAATTTTGAAAAGCATAAGGATTAAAGTGCAAGACTTGAAAAGTATAAGGAACAAAATGTAAAATATTAAAGTATGAAAATTAAAATGTAAAACTTGAAAAGTATAAGGGCTAAAGTGTAATATCTAAAAATGTAAGGCTTAAAATGAATAGTTTGAAAAGTATAAGGGTTGGGGTGTAAATATTGATAAAGTATAAGGATTAGAACGTAAATATTAAGACATGGATATACAATGGTGATTTGGACAAGTATTTTGGAAAAATTTCGTCATTATCATGCCTTAGATCCTGCCATTATTAGATAAGTCTAAGGGGATCAAATAAAAAAATAAAGAAATTTTGAGGGGTCATTGAAGGATCTATACAAGCTATAGGGGCAGAAGTGTAAAACCAATATCTTAAGGACCAAAATGAAAAATTTAAGACTAATTGAAAATGGGTGTCCAAGGTTGATTTGATGTTTACCTGACAAAATTTTGGCATTAAGGTTAGGCACACAAGTGAGGCCACTTGCAGTTGTTCAGTGGCTGGTTTGTTGGCAGCCACAAGGTTGAAGAATCTCCTAAAATGATTTAAGAAGATGGAAGAGAAATTGGCTTGATTGCTAAGTTAGCAAAATTTTGGGTGGCTTTTTGCAGGGCTTTTGAGGGCTCGCTCTCTTAATCTTTCCCTCAATCTATTAAAAATTCTCCAATAACTTGAGAAAAAGGGTACAAAGGCTATTACCAGTAGAGCCAAGTATTTAAAAGAGATGATACATGGACTCCTAAAATTTTGACCATTTAAATTACAAATGTAAACTTAGATTCGATCTACTTTTACATTAATCGAAAGATAAGGTGTAAATCGTAATTTTGTACACAGATTATTCATAATATAACATGATCTCCAATGGCATTGAATGAGACGTTATGATTAGACAATGTATTTTAATGGTTAAAATTTTACTTTTTTGCGACGTTAGTATCTCAATGCCTACACCAACCCAACCATGGTATCAAAGTTTGATCATGCATACTAATCTAGACACTATATTTCATTTTGAATGAAAATGGTTAGGTGCACATTTATGTTCAATAGGATTAGATGTCGGATTAGTGGAGATTGTGTTGAATTTGTAATGTTTGTTTTGGTCATAAAGCAAATAACGTCAAAATCGTGATGAAAAGGGGGCCATTTTGCACTCTTGGGCACCCCAAGTGCTATGTGCATGCCATTGGCATGCCCATGACCCGGGGCACACCTTGGGCATGGCCTGGCGAGGGGGAAGTTTGGTATTTTAAAATTTGAAGTAAAAGCAATAATTTTGTCTCCAAATCTCTCCAGTATTGGAAAGATTCTAAATGAAGTAATAATTTCTATATGTATCTTTCTATTTCTTTCCAATTCTATTCTAAAATCTCATCTAAACAAATGATACGAAGGTAAATATTTCCATTTCTTTTTTTTTTTTTCTGTATATTAGTCAATCCAAATTAGTTATTGAAGTTCTAAACCATCTAAGTAGGTGCAATACATCTTTTTGGAGCATCAAATAGCAGAAAGTATCTCCCCTCTAAGGTGTAATCATCTCTTATTCAAACTATAATCATTTCTTTAGACAATATTCAGTAGCCTAGATAATAGCGAATAAAATTATTTATTTACTTGTATTTACATTCGGTATGTTAGATAAAATTAGTTGAATAAGAGCGGA